CAAATTAGTACGGAAACCACCCATACACTATAACCAACTTACTGCTGGCTTCCTCTATAAACAGGTGCCAAACAAGTCATAAAGCAGTTTTTTGATTAAACGGAATTTTAACTATTATTTTCTGCTTACTCTTTTTCTAATGGCAGGGCACATTGCGAAATATAGCACCAATGATGCTGAGATATTTGCAAAACTCCGGACCGCAGGTGTACGCAGTGGGGAACGAACGCACTATTTAATCTTAACTATTTAAGCTTAACTGGGTTCGTTACCGATTTGGCACCCTCAGATCAAACCCACTGACGGGTGATTGCTGTGGTAAAGATCGATAGAACTAACTGATAGACACGCGAAACGAAGGGCCCGAATGGTATGGTGGTGAACGCGTTACTCACCGGAAAGGACAACATTGCGTTCATTCCCCACCGCACACACCTGCGGTCCGGAGTTTTGCAAATATCTCAGCATCATTGGAGTTAAACGGAATAATAAACCTCGCTATTGTGTTAAAAATCCTTCCAATTTCTATCTGTGATACTCATCTTTGCTGGATTTACGAGACCTTTCCTTTTCAATGTTCGTCATCAGTGAACTGATGTTATCAAGTAAGTACGTGAATACTTACATACTTGGATTGTCCATCTTCACTGGATGTGCGTACTCCAGCATAATTTCTGTTCTCCGAAGACCCGCTGGTGTAGCCGTTGTGGTTCTCTGGATTGCCGGGGTCAACCTAGGCGAAGCGTTCCTCAGGTCTCCACCACCCCATATAATCGATGCACTTGAGGATTAGAGGGAGATTTGCCACCATGCGACTAGTTTGGCACCAGGAGGGTGGTGATTCCTGCCATTAGTATCGATTTATTCATAGGTGAGTTTCGGGATGGAGACGTCGGATTCCTTCTCGGCCTAGAAGACCTTGCCGGGGAAAGAATCCCCTGCTGTACATCGCAACCCGACACCCAGCAATACCTCCCAGCCACGACGAGGCGGTAAACCGTTGGTACGGTGAGCCCACCGGTTACCTGTAAATATAGAAAAACAGAAAATGGAAGAAAAGCCTCTAGAAACCACAATGGAAGAACTAAGAAACGCTACAAAACGCTAGAGAACAATACCATGATGATTGTAAACAATAAACGAAAGCAAACTATCGCTTGAAAATGCACATGAAAACAAGACGAGGCCAGTTCGCGATGACCCTACCCCACATCCGCTCGTTCGCTAAACTAAAGAGTGTATAGAGGCACATCTCTTTCCAAGGATGTTCGAATGGGTTTGTTGGCCCCACCAGGGCACTTTTAGTGAGCAGGTCAAGTTAGAAGAAAATTTTAAGGATACGTAATGTTAAAAGAACAATTTCGAAACGCCAACCACAAACAGTTTCTGGAATAGTGAAAGGATCACGACTGCATTAGTTAAGGGTGCCAGTCAGTTGGACCAGAGGGTAACAGGAAAGGGTTATGTGAAGACAAGTGGGAAAACTATAGGAGCAGCTGAAACGAATTATGAAAGAGATGTTTCGAGAACGTACACACCATCAAAACAGAACCTGCACATACGCGGACTCGTCAAAGAGCATCGGAGAAGCGCTGCTAGCAATCAATACCACCAAGTGATCTACGCGATCGATGATCTACCTTTCTTTCCACTTTTCAATTTCGATTTGTGAAAAATAAGATGAAACCGTGAATCGACTCTCGTCCTACATGGGAGAATAGCAATATGCTAGACAACAGCAAGGCACATGGAAACACTCAACATCAAGGGGAAGAAGGAAAACTTCCAGACCGCATTGATCGAAAAGATACGCTGCGCTATGGATAGAAATGCGTCATCGCACATGATCCTTAGCCAAACGGATTGATTTCCACACCGCAATGGAGAAGTTTATTACGTCTACAATCGTGTTCTTACCAGTTTTGTTCAGTCTTTTAGGTAAGGGACGGTATTGTATTTAGACTGCTACCGGTGTGACAAAGCCACATACGACGATTGTTATGATAAAAGGATAAAAAGGGTAAAGCTCTCGGCGTTGATCAGTCCCCGAGGGATGTGCCATGCATTCGACTTTATTAAGTATAGTTGAAGGTGATTGAATACATATCTAACCTTTACAATGACTCGCGGTGGCCGACCGATGTATCGAACCAGTGCTGCTATCTTCCCAGACAAGTTTGGTACCAATTTGCTGAACCCGGAGGGATGGAAGGCTTGGTGGTCTATAGACGTTGGGATCGATTCCACGCGTGTGTCGCAGTGCTCCAAGAACTGCGCCACATGCGCCCTTCTATTACCGAAAAGTGTTGCACTTTCCATATTTGTTGAGAGGTACAATATCATTATGAAAACCGGATGGCTAAAATCAATGAACTTCCAATTAAATGATTCGAGCGGGTGCCACTGAAATAATCATTCGTTCTCATTCCGAACCAGAGGAGACCAGTGCGCTCCTACCAACGCTCAGCAAATATGGTAAGTGCAACACTTTTTGGCTGACACCCGTTGTTTTTTCTTTTGATAGGTTGGCTTGCCAGATAGAAAAAGTATCGTTGTACGTGTTAAAAGAATAAAAACTTACGGCTTTCATTAATCTCTGTGCGGTGCGCCGTGCATTCGAGTTCACTAAGCGAGATGGCTGAATGCATATTTACACTAAACCGTGACTAGCGGTAGTCAACGGATGTAACGAGCTACTAAAGTTATCCTCCGAGACAGGTCTGTTATCAATTTGAAGATCCCGAGCCTAGAACACGGACTGGAAGAACTCATGTATGCTGCAGGGCATCTCTAACCCCTACGCTATACGTGCCGCCGCCCTGTTGTATGTATTATAGTTAGGAAATACATTATCGTAGATGATAAAGAGATGCATGGAGATGTTCGCAGATCTTTGACGAGAGACCAAACACGGCACACGACAATTTGCAGACAGTCAACTGCCTTCGAGTAGGGAACCTCATTAATTATAATGCAAGGATAAACCTCAGAATGCTTCACTTACATTGTGATTAAACTTTCTAACGAAGAGAAAAACATGTTAATATCAGGCTTTTGGTTCTTGTCAACAGAAAAAAAAATTTTCCTAATATCTATGTGAACACTGGAACAGTAACATATGTGACAATGAAGAGCAACCATAGTAAATCTGTCCATAATACGTTCAGATGAAGATAAGGAACACAACGGCCTCTATAGAATTTCGGCTGTATTTGATCCTTTTGACATCTTGTGTTCAAGAATATCACCTCTTTTCAGTGGTAAGACACTAACCTGCCAGTGTGATTATAACTCATAGAGCTATTGAACTTAGTCTCTCCTAGAAAAACGTGATGTTCTCAACCTCTTAACTCCTGTAGTTGCTAAGGAATTATCACCTGTTATCGAAAGACCAACAGCTCTAAAACGTATAAAATTAGGCGTCGTACCACGACGATACCACATAAGATTAGGCGCTGCCATCAGTTGTTAACCCATATTGTCTAGAACGGATACCATAGTATTCTTGCTTTGATAAGCTTTCACGAAGCATATCCTTTATTTTCGCCTAACATTTCGACAGATTCCCCTTCATCGAAGCAGTTGATCAGTCGATGGTCCACAGCGTTCTCGAAGTGGCTTCTTCGTCGCGCATCGAGGAGGATCTTCCCTAGCGATGCATCCCTCTCGAGTGAGGCGAGCTCAATTGGCTGCCCTTTTGTACAGGATGGTTCCTATTGATATCGCTCTTTTGAAATGTTATATTACGGCTAGCTGATAATGATGCCGACTTCTACAGGATAAATCCTCTGAGAAAACAAGTAGTTATCACCGGATAATCACCGCTATTAATAAGAATCATATTGTATAAAAGGGCATCGACGAGTGAGTATGACTCGTTCGAGCGAGATACTCCACTGAGGAAGATCCGACTTAATGCTTGAAGAAGATGCCATCTCCAGAACACGAACGATTGTGGACCATCGACTCGGACGATGACGACGAAACCGTGAAAACGTTAGCCCAAAAAAAAAGTTCCATAAGTGGCGATAATCTTAACCTATTTATTTACTGCCTATTCTTTTTAACGACAGGGCATGTTGCGAAATATAAGTCCGAAGCTTTTTTCGAACGGACTTTGATTTTTTGAGCTCTCCAGATCAATCCCGTTGGCGGGTTATTGTTGATGGCAACAGATCGATGTGGTGGTGAACGCGTTACTCCCCGGAAAGGACAATAACGTCTTTGTTCTCCACCGCATACACCTGCGGTCCGGAGTTTTGCAAATATCTCAGCATCATTGAAGTTATATTTCCCAATATACCCTGCCGTTAAAAAAAATAGGCAGTAAATAAAAAGGTTAGGAAAATGGTAAGTGTTTAAAAGAAGCTGTTTATTATAGCAGGAAAAATTTTTGTGCTAGGTTTTGTCTGCTGAGACTACGAGTGTTTGGCTGCGTAGATAGCATGTCAATTCGACCTTTCCAGATTCTAAAGAAGGATACACCGCAGAAACGTCAGCTATTTTCAACTAAAAAATGCTGCTACAACAACCTCGTGTTTGCTCACCAGGAAAACACTGAAAATAGGGCATATATCGTTAATGAAAAAGCACTACTTGTAAAATTAAGCTTTGATAAATGAAAACCCCCAAACCTCGGCGACAAAAGGTTTAGCGGTACTGGTTCAGGAAGAATTTTATTGCATTATTACCATCGTAAATGAACTAAGCTGCAACCTCTCTAATGGTACGTAAAACGAGTCAAGAGGTATATTGTGTTTGATTGTTAAGCTAACACGAACTTGTCATGAAGATTTATTCGGCTATGGTATCGACGTATAAACTGACACATCAGGATGAAAAAACAGAAACTATCAAATCTAATGAAAATCAAACTGGAAATAACAAATCGGAGGGAACTGAACTAACAACATAAAGTTTAGACAGGCATATCTGTCGAAACTTCGCAGAGGATTTTATGACAACAAGCGTAAGCAGATAAGTAGGTGACATTGGAGAGATCAGTTATGGAAACGGACACCGTATCGCTCTAAAAGAGCTCGATCCTCGCAGGATCTCTCATGTGAATCGATGTCGACTTCATAAACGATGTGTGTCGGATTATAGCGACACATGACAAGAGGACCACATCTTTCCTCAAAACTTTCGTCCTGAACAATCCTTGCTTTAGAATATACACGGGCGCCACGGCCATTAGTAAACGTGGGGCATGGGATTTCAGCGGCAATAGAACGCTGAACCACGTTTCAGGAAATTAAAAATGTAAAAGATCGCTTTGAGCTCATACTTATAAAGTTCTTTCACACCACATTTTTGATAGTTGAAGATATAAGGATTGCAAGAAACTTTTGAAGGCCATGATCTTCAAAAAGTTTAGATGAGTGAATAAGCACAACTGCAATGATTTGTTACGACGCTACATTACATTGTTCAAATAACCAAATCCTAAGGACAAAACTACATTGGACCTATTTTTTTGTTGCAAAAAAACTCACGTCATCATCAGAGAGTGAAGGTGTTCTAATTCGCTGATGTTCGCCCTCTTGTATGCAACGATCCTCATCCACGGGCTCAGAGTTGTCATTCCCGAAACCATACTTCTCACCCTCTCTGTCAGAATAATAGTGAGTACTACTCGTCCTCATATTAGCACGAGGAGAAGATCTTTCACTTGAATCTTCCTGGGACGAGCACCCCGACTGATCGTTTTCCAGACAGTTTAATCCACCCTTACCGTCCATACTGCTTCTGCACCTTAAAAAGTAGCAAATGAATGTAAATATTTATGTAATGCAATGCACCATGTAACGCAAAAAAACTATCATGAAGTTTGAACAATAGCTGTACGACAAACAGGACAAACGACACAGAACATAATAGGACGAAAACGAATAAGGAGCAACCAAGTTGGATTTTAAAATTATTCACGATATTCATAAGTAGAGATCACCACATCAAAATCATCGTCACTCAAATTGAACTAGTTAACGAAATCACGCAAGTGTAGAGCAGTGGTCGGAGCCGCTGTGCAATACACACGGGATCGATCTCCGTGCCCAAGGGCCACCAAGATTTCCATCTCTCCACGATCGGGAAACTGGTACTAGACTTGTCTGGGAGGATAGCAGCACTAGCTCGATACATCGCTAGGTCACAGCTAGTCATTGTAGAGGCCAGACATGCATTCAGTCACTTCCAACGATGCTTAATGAAGTTGAATGTACGACGCACCACTCAGCGTTAGATCAACGCCGAGAGCTTTATCCTTTTCATTTTTTAACGAATCCGCCCGTCCACTTCTAGGAAAAGATTATTTTGTTGTACAAGCAAATCTCTGTTGATCATTACGTTTGATATTAACGGCAACAATTCTTTTTAACCGCTTTTGACGATGGTGAAGAATTTCACTCTACCATATAACGCAAAAATCAAGTCAGCACTAAAATTTTTTGGTTCGCTTCATAGATAAGCTCAAAGATAACACTATGATTATAGCACATTTTACTTGCTAAGTTTACAAATCCCTTAATGGCTTTCTGCCTGTCAAATGGTGCTCTCGTCTCAACGGTTTACCGCCTCATCGTGGCTGGGAAGTCTTCCTGGGTGTTGGACTACGATGCACAGCGGGGTGATTCGTACCCCCGGCAGAGTCTCCCAGGCTGAGGAGTGCGGCGTTTCCATCAGGAAGCCTAACTAAAAGTAAACCAATGCCAGGATCCACCACCGTCTTGGTATCAAAGTCGCATGGTGATAAATCTCCTTCTGATCTGCAAGGACTGCGACTGCCTGTCGTGGTAACGACCTGGGGCAGACTTTGGCCAGGCTGGCCTCGGGATTCCAGGAAACCACAATGGCTTAACCAGCAAATCTCTGAAAAATGGTGATTATGCTGGGCCCGCACGAGTAGTGAGGGCGGGCCGTTCAAGTATCAAGTAAGTAAATGGTGATCTAGCTTACGTAAGTGGGAGTTCGATATTCCACATCGTAGCAGGGGTGCACGACAGCAGAGCTCGGCGAGCTGTCCACGACTGTCCAAATGACAAAAAGGAAGAAAGGTGTCACAATAACACTGTGATGCTCCAGGTATCCCTTGAATAAGTGGACTTCACTACGCAATATTGTGCATGCCGTGGAGGATGGCGATATCCTCAGCGCCTGATTGAATTTTTTTAAGGATTACCAGAACAACAGATGACACAAATGAACGTGCGTTTTGATAAAACCTTGAAAACAGAAGAACGGAGGCAAAATTCAGTTCAATGGAAGACGTTAAGTGAAGAGTGAAACAATGCTGGACAATTCTATCCTTGGCCAGGAGTATTCCACGCACACACATACGTTGCCCCAATGAAGGGCTAGAACCACAAAGTACATCTGCAACAATATTCAATTCAAATTAACCAATCTAGAGAATGGAACTAAAAAATCATTGAGCAACAATTGCCTTCACAAAACAAATAGCGGAATTACCAAAATTAACTGTGGAGTCTGCAACTATACGAGACAAAAGCTGCTACTTCATTTTGAAAAAAAGTGGGAAAATAAAATAGCACTCTCCCGTGAGTGGTACTACATAAGAAGACTGCTCTAAGTTACGAGTGACATTCAAGAGACGAGTCTTTATAGGGCGACCGACACGCCATGCACTTTCGCTGGAGCACGTTACTTTTCCCGGGTCACGATTTTAGTTTTTGTGGGAACAGGAGTCAGCTTATCGACAAATATATGGAGTTACTTATCGCTTTAGTGAGTAAGTGTCGGATCATATATTATGGAAGCCGTAGGTTAATAGTATTTTCTTTTCATCCCGTACGCATGTGCTGGGCATAATTTTAAGAGATTGACTTTACTGCCATTTTATTTTGCCACCTTTATTTTCTCATTAATTTGCTCTTAGTCTGCTCAGTTACAATTAAAATTAAAATCCGGGAGGTTTTTCGCTGAAAAGATGGCAATGGGACAGCATCTGGCTCTAGGGGTTGTGCTGAAAAATTCACGTCAGGTGAGAATAGTGATGAAATGAACTTCGTTAAGATTCGTGAAGATGAGTTGCCTAAATACGGAATTAAGCCATTTATGGGAATGAAAAGATTTTTTGTTTTTGCAGAAAATAAATTTTCCAAAACACTAGGAATTTACTGGAGTGAACTCGATAATTCCATCAATCCTTTTAATACAATGATAAACCAAATCTACCATTTATCTTCACTGTTATATCTCAATCTTTCACTGTCACATACCTTATAACGTACTGGAGAATTATTAACCATGGTCGATAAAAAATTGGAAATAGACCTCAGCGCGAAATCATTTCTTGTGTTTTTTTTTCAACTTCCTCTTCGTTTTAAGACAAGGATAGCAATGAATGAACACACTTGAGCGAGGAAAACTGCATGAGGAATTCCGTCTAATTTCAAAAAACCTCTATCCCGAACGCCTCAGATTTGCTTTTCAACATTAAGCAGAAAATATGACCTACTAGTATAGCAACCACTGTTAGCACATACGCGACGACGCCAAATTTAATGTCTGTTACGGACTTTTTGGGTTTTAGACAGAAGACGACAATGTTTCGGTAATTAAAGGATTTGGAAGATTGACACCATGAGCAAAAGACATTATAACTTAATATCTCGTCAACAACTACGGTAAAAAAGGAAAAGACTGTCGGCATTGATCAATGTCTTATGGATGCACCATGCATTCGACTTCATTAAGCATCGTTAACGATAAATGAATGCATATCTGGCCTTTACGATAACTCTTGGTGTCCTACCGACGTCTCGAACCAGTGCTGCTCTCCTGCCAGACAAGCGCCACCAATTTGTCAACCCCGGAGGGATCGAAGGCCTGGGGGCCTGGGGCGCTGAGATCGATCCCACGTGTCTTGCTTGGCGCCTCCGACCACAGTGCTACTCGCGCTCCTAACAACTACGAAAGTAATAATGAATTATTGTGATGTTGTACATTTATTTGCGTTTTGGCAGCAATTTGATCTATATAGGGCATAACTCGTGCTCGCCTCGACGGCTCCTCAGGAGCCAATTTTACACCGTAAATCACTTTCTACCAGTTCTTGATTCGCAATCAGTTCAGGTTTCCCATCCGCTGAGTTTGTAAGCGTTATGGCAATAAAAAAAATCTTTCCCTGATAAGCAAAGACAATCAGATTTTTGGTTACATCTAGAAAAATTTCAGAACTTTCAAGCTTTTAACCATTCCCGCAAGCTTCACATTTTTCTTCAGCGCTCGCAATAGATAATTTCATAACTAACGGTGTATTTCATCGACGTCAAAACGGCAAACGACAGTTCACATTTGTCTGCTAAATTTCTGATGAAGATTTGAACAATTTGAGGATTCCAGAATTGATAGGTTAATGAAAAAATTTACAAGCCGATTAGAAGTTATTTCGAAAGTATTCAAAAGCAAAGAAAGAATTTCAAGAGTTGACCATTGAACAAGAACTTAAGCAGATAGACCAATATCTCATCGATTTTCCAAACATGTGGCGCGATTTCTCTCCGATACCGCTACCTAGCACAATGTGAAAATAGACTAAGAATGCTTTACTTCTTGCAGTGTACGAGCCACATGTGGTTGTTGTTGCTATCAGTGTGTTAGACTCAAGCTGCTTATGCTTACAATTGAGAAGTTCCTTAGTGAAATAAAAAAGTTAACATGGTGGAACAGACCTTGAAGATGCGATGAAGAAAGTAGCTTTCTGGATGGTGAATTGTATTTGCTTTAGAAGCGAGTGCATCACTCTATCATAAATATGGTACAGTGATTGTTCCTAGCTTCGTCTACTTATCCAACATTAGAGTCGTTGCTGCACATCTCCTTTAAGCCTGTTCGGATGTGGATTATTCTTTTTGCAGTTCATTGTTCTATGAGCAACAACGATGTTGGAGTGCATTTTACTAAGGCAAAATTCATAGCTCTCGTTCCTTCGGCTCAAGATGAGGTATTAACATGGTAGACTAAGGTTGTTTAGTGGAGTTTTGTTGTAGATGAACCACAGTCGTTTCAGCTTCTAACCAAATCCAATGTTCAGCAGTTGGATACAAATGCGTGTCGAAAAGCTTACGGTGTTAAACGAACGATACCACATTATCTCTACTTGAACATGTGTTCTTCACCGCTTGTAGTATCGACATCGTCTAACGGAGTTGAAAACACGGTGTAAGATTTTCAGCAACTAATTGTATGTCGTATGTAAGGGGCACGTGTGGAGCAAGTGGTTGGAGGCGCTGCGACACACACGTGGAATCGATCCACGCGCCCATGGCCAACCAAGCCTTCCATCTTTCCGGGGTCGGAAAATTGGTACCAAACTTGTCTGGAAGGATAGCAGCACTGGCTCTATACATCAGTAGGCCACCGCGAGTCATTGTGAAGGCCAGATATGCATTCAATCACCTCCAAGCGATGCTTAATGAAGTCGAATGCATGGCGCCATCCTTCAGGGATTGAACAATGCCGAGAGCTTTGTCTTTTTTAATTGTATGTCTACCGAAAAATGTCTACGTTACATACTCTTAAAGTGAGGGTGTGCAACTCAGTTGTGGTTTGTGCTCCGCAATATGGACGAGTTTCAAACCACGCGCTGAACAGGCCATGCAAAACGTAAACAGACATTAGCAAGATACCAATCTTTTCTGTGGCGATATATGCGCTGAGTAGTTGCATCCGTGGCTCCGTAGGTCTTATATGGACCAAATATTCATCACTTTCATTC